AGGGTTTCTAAATGGGATGTAAGGAAATAGCCTCCTTTCTTTTAATTCATTGATATTCAGTGTCAGTCTAAATTGGAGTGAGGTCAAACTCACTGCATCCTGCCATAAGTGCTTGAGTATTACTCTGTCTATGATAATTCAGGTTTAGTACTGGTGTCTAGCACTAATGTTTGAATGACGGTAAGACTGAGGAGAAAAAAAAGTTGTCACTGGCAATGCAAGTGTTTCAACTTTCCAGTCACTAAACTTAAAGCACCTCATGGCTGATGAACATAGTTTCTTTTATCATTTTTTCGTTATTTGTATGTTCATTATTTCTCTCACTTTTCAGCCAAAGAACAAAAAGTAGCAAAGGCGGGTGGTTCAAACAGTGTGGCTGTATGTGGTTGTCCTGCGATTGGTCTGACGTTGTAAAATGAGCGATAAAAGTTTTCACCGAAGTTTGTGATTATTCTACTATTCACAATTCTCCTTAGTAAGATTATAAAGCGATTAGAAGCGGCCTTACAACACGATATGATAACTAGCATAGTCCGACGAAAGATTGCAAATGGCATCACTTCAGAAAATTTGTCATTTATTTACATTTTTGCACTTAACCTCTGTTATTTGGGTCAATCCATAGTGTCCAACTTAGGGCCGAGACTGCTTTGCTAGTTCCGTGAGTTAACTAGAGGACACTTTTACTTTTCAGTACGAAATTGAAGAACACTTGACGGTACGTAAAAGATATGGATCTAACCGAGTTTTTTTTATCACATTCATAGCTGTTTACATTTTATATCATCCATCACTCACTGATAACATGTCACTGTGATTTTCTGTACAATTCGCAGATTGTGAGACTGCTCGCCATGTTTTTACCGTCCTTATTAGCGAATGCGAGCACGTTTGGTTGGCTAGATGAAATGCGCAAGGCTCCAGAAACTTGGTCAGCGTTCTTTATTGTATAGTTTAAAGCGAACTGAAAACAATTCTCTTACATTTACTTTTGAAAATATCAAAAAATAAAATAAGTTTTGACCATAACTTCTTAAAACTAAAATAGGCTATGCTCTCACTTACAATTTTGTTAATGACGTCTTCACAAACTGGTTACAGTTAAATTCATTATTTAATTTGTTATCACGTCGAACGATTACGGGAACAATAAGGAGTTTACGTGATTCCAGAGTAATTAACGAGATGGAACACGCCGAACTATTTAGGTCAAGGATAGAAATCGCGTAATTCTGAAACACAAGAATCTCCAATCTCATCAAACTGATGCAAGAGTGGATTAACTTTCTTACTTATTTAGTTGTTTATTTCGTTGTTAGTCGATCAGGTGCGGTTGTCACAAAATGGTAAAGTATGCCTTTTAGGCTCAAAAACAGCAATATAGAATTCGGTTGTACTTCTCCATCAAAATTGACCTTCAAAAGAGGCAACGAGAAAGAAAGAAAGAAAGAAATTGAAAACCACTGCACCAGCTAATTGTACCTTGCACCCAAGAGAGACGCGATCGTTGATGGATATTACTCTTTAATTTCCTTTAAAGGTGAATTTTTCTGACCACGCTTGAATCAATTTGAATGATAAAGTTGAATTCAATGAATGAAAATAGAAGCTTCGAAAGAACCGATGACGGCGAGGACTCTATTCATGATACCATTATAATGCCGTAGTAGAAATCTCAAACCAATGACAATTTAGGATCTAGAAGTTCAACGAGTTGTCCTATGCCAAATCTCGCAAAATTAAGCTTATGAGATATCTTGCAAGGGTATTTTTAATTTCAGTTAAGCTGTTTTCCTAAATAGGTTTGTAAGACTTGTTGGAAAGGTTATTGAAATAGACTCGGCGTTAAAGAAAAAAGAATAGACATTGAGGGCCTGGACGCTTCCTTCCGATTCAAGTTGTCTTGTTGCTACCTCTCCCCTGAAAAACGGAGGAATGAGTTTGAACTGCCTATCAAATAGATTCAGTCAAAGGCATTCATTTCCTTTTGACATATGGGAGCTGCAACTCTAAGTTGTATGGTACGCCGCCTCTTTATTCTTACCCCGCTCTAATTACCACGACTGGAAACAAAGGGTGGGTAGAATAGCTAAATGATGCATGCATATTCGATTTTCGCTACTATTACGAAATCCGAAAAAGAAATTGACTGATTGTTTCAGTCTATTTTAAGAATTCTCAGCTTCGTCTGATGGATCATTTAATCTGTTATATCAAGAATACTTTTCATTAAAGATTTGGGTCAATACTACTCCATCGTAAATCGAGTGCGTCGCCTTAAAATATTTTGTCAGTTGCTCGAGCCTGCTAGCCTTGGATCTTCTGATATCTTCAAACTATTGATTGTGTCAGGCTCAAAACACTTTTTTACTATTGTAGGTTTTGAAACAAAAACTATGAAACTCAGGGATTGGACTATTGTATTTTGAATTAATATTTATTAAAGAAGAATGAGGTCGTGAACAATTAGCTATTATTTGATATTTTGAACTTTAAGACGTTTTTTCTCTATCACTCCTTTGGTGGGGCTGAAGTATTGTCTGCCACCTGCTGCTTTTGTTTAAGATATGGTCCAATATACTTTGTCTATTTTTAACTTTCTTAATGCATCTGATAGCTAAAAACAACTAGGTGTAAATGTTTATTTACAGCAATCGTGCCTTATACAATAGGCACAAAGCCAAAAGTGAACTAAAAAAATGAGTATAGCGACTACCCACCAGCAGTCCTTCCTGCTGAGAATTCTGTGGCACTTCCTACACAACAGTGACTTCTTTATTGACTTTGGCAGTCCTGAGGTACGTGAAATAATTTCACGACCGTGATATCAAAATTCAATAACAACGAAGAATCATTTTAGAACGGATGTTGCACTAAACTGAAGTATACAGTGCTTAAGCCATTATCGGAGAGTTAGTGATTCATCCAGCGATCACAAAATCGATAGTCTAGCCGACATCGAATATAGCTGTTGCTTATTATAACGAAAGAACGAGACAAGAGGTAGTAAGGATCAAAACATTAGCTCATTAGAGGGTGGTTTTGTGGTCACTATACAGAATTCGATCTATCATTTTGTGCAATAAATGATAAAGAAAAGTTGCTGGTTTAAATGCTCTTTTTGACTGAAGAGATTGAGCATTGAGTTTCCAAAGCGTATTTTTAATTTGTTGTTATCCTCCCTTTTCCCGCTTTTTATATCAGTATGAGTAAGAATTCCTACCAATAAGGTGCTTTCCAAGATATTTCACGGATAGTCCTGAGGTAAGGTAGACGGCGACAAACAACAGCCAACAACAAAAAGATCAGTAGGGACACTATCTTTTTTTAGTTTTAATTTTGCTCTTTGGTATTAGTCCGCCCCTATGATAATTACTTCAGATTTTCATTCCGAAAAGGGATATTTCCGTGGATCCATAAAAAAGCTTAAAATATTGTGAAGTAACTCCTTAAAAATTAAAAGAATATTCCTCGTTGTCGAGAACCATATAGCTCATTTATTAATATCGGCGAAGTGTTTGATATTAGCGATGCAGGAGAAATGGCGAATACTTTCGTTACTTAGGATATAAATTCTTATTTCATTACTTTTTTTTACCAGCTTAATCATCTAACTCTCAAGTGATGGAATGATCTACATCGCATGCACCGGCGATTCAATACTAAACTAAAAATAGACGTACATGCCGTGTACTTCATCTCATTTCAGTAATCACATTACTTGGGAAACGACATCAGGCCAAAGAAGCATTTATCTAATCCCCTCTTTCAAAGCGGGTTCCACGTGTAGGCAGCAACTCGTGATCTACCCACGAGATTAACTAAGATCATTCTGTGTCATCTTAGGAGGGAAATACAAACATTATCTCGAAAGTTTACTTTCACAACCATATCCTCTTTTAAATGTTGTAAAAACAAATCTGCCGAAAATCACGAAAATACAGTCTCCATATTCATTATGGAAAGCTGTCTGATAGCTGAAGCTTAGGACTACTTTTACAAAGATTGACTCTCTTCAGAGTAAACCAAATATTGGAAAAAAAATCGCAGGGCACACGTCGTTAAATTTTTTCTCACTCCGAGAATTTCAGTTAAATTCATTTTTCATCACTTTCGCCTTCAATTCTTCTATAGTGATCAAGACGCAGCTTCAAGACACGATATAGTTATTTCACAATATTGCTGTCTCTCCGACCATGTCCGTTGCAGACTACTGATGACGAATGGGAAGGGGTTTAGATATGAAAACTTCCTTCAGGAACTACCTGGGGGTGGACTTAGACTTTATCCAAGGCCGCCAAAAGAGATTTCAGGGGCTGAGAATAATTCTCACATATGCTTAGATACCACATTATTTTCACGCTGTTCTTTTAATCCTACCATTGCGGAAAAATTGTCGCAATTGTCATAATCTTCTAGGTTTGTCCCACACTTGTAATTGCCACCGTAATTTTATTTCCAAACGTTTTCTAACTCCATAGGGGGTGGGAGGATTTAAGACTATTATCTACCAGAATATCGGCTCTTCTTTGAAGCTCAGAAAGCGAATAACTTTGTGTTGACTACAAAGCATTATATAGTCATCGCCTACATTTTAATAGCATGATCAATGGTTCTGTGCAAGAAGGGATATTATTTTAACTTCATGTCAGAAACCCTCTCATTTATTTTTACTTGAAAGGTTTGTTTGATATGATATGTGCAAGAAAAAACAAGATCAACCATTCTATATTGTCGATCCATTACCATCTCAGAACATTTACTCTGTAGAGGGGACTTGCTTAAGTCCCGTAAACTTAGAAATTGTACGCTGTGCTTCCAACCCGCTAACCTCTGGTAAAAGGAAAAGGTCCTGAGCCTTTATATTTACATCCATTTGTCACTTCCTTTAATCTAAGATTTGCATATGCTCACCAGTTGGGCTGTTTTTTGTAGTATGACAAATTGCTGATGGTGCTGACGTCCAATCGATTTCATTCGTTTCTTTTTAGCAGCTCAGGATGAAAGATCTGGTCAGTGCCCTTATTTTATTGTTCACTCTGATGTCACTTATCACTTTTACCAGTGGAACACAGCCTCAAAATGGCGGCCAGTTCACTCAACGCGAAATAGACGCCTACAAGAGATGCAAAAGCACAACTTGTGTTGCCCGAGTCTCTCTTTGTATCATAAATAAAGATTGCGCAAACTGCAGGCCTATAGCTGGAAAAAACTGTACATGTTGCGAGGACTGCTTCAGATGCCTTGGTCAGAAACTCTGGAAAAAATGTTGTGATTGTGTTGGTCTCTGCACTCACACTCCTCGCAATGACACGAACAGCACGCAGCAAATATCAAGCAGTTACGGTGACTTGAGCAGGTCTATACCAACTATGTTTGACATTATCAGTCAAGGATCACATTTTCCCATTGCCTTCATGACAAGGGGCAAAAAAGGTTGGTATTTTGTGTTTGAAGAAGTCTTAAGTTTAAGAGCGATTATTCGAAAAAGGTACCAGCACCTATCAGAAGTTGGCTAATGACTCGGTTTCACGTTCGCCAGATGAATTGATCGAAAATGCTCAAATTGGTAAAACAAAATATCGTTTTTGCTATCACATTGCACTAAAGAAAGGACAATCAATCTCTGGATGAGATTGTTACTCCAGATACAATGATAAAGATATTTATGCACAATTAAGAGTACCAATAGAACGACATCCCTTTGGAAATATTTTACGGTGATGTTTCAACGCTTTCCTATTTGACTTATCAACTTTTGTTGGCTCCTCGAGAAAGGGGGCAATGACTTCTAAATGCAGAATCAGCAATTAGCAGCACCGCATGTGTTGGATACCCTAAACTTTATTGCAAAGATATAGAAAGTTGATCTTGAAAACTCTGCCTTATTGTTAAGCGGTGTTGTGGAGAATACCCCTAATTTTTCAAGAGGCAGAACTATCCTGTGGTGATATTAAAATGTCGAAATCAATCATGAACAGTTGATCTAGGCTTGACGAGCGTTCGAATACCGCCAGCTCTCGATTCAAAAACACCTGAAATAGAAAATATAGTCCTTCAAAACGAACCATGAAATACAACAAAAGGATCGCGTACACGCGCGTACATGTTTGAAACAATACAAATCCTTCTGAACTGATTTTAAGTGCCTAATTCAACATGACGAAAATGGACAGAAGGGTACAGTTGAATGAAAATTAAATTAATTAATTAAAAGCGAATCAAATATTGCGGCATTTGGATCGATCTACGTTATTCCTTTTGTTTGTGGTTCGTTAGTCCAAGAATAATCACTTTGAAATAATCAAACGATAAAGATCGTAAAATCAAAGCGTCGATCGATTTTGATAGGCTCGTACATATCATGTAATTTTTCAAGCATTCTGAAACGCAACTGTCTCAAAACACAATTAAATTTCTCCAAATTTCACTCAATGAAGTACAGTAAGAAATCTTCGATTTCTCTATCAATATTTTTCCCAAAATAAATCTGGTTTTTAAGAAAAAAAATTTGGCCCTGCCTGTTCCTCTGCGTTTACCGTCAGTTTTGTTATGAATTCGCTGACACTGAGCGGTAACAGTCTCCATCAACGGGAACTCCAACGAAAAAGTAATACCAACTTTCGTATCGTGAGAACTTAGCTCATCGAATAATTTATTTTTGTTTAATTTCGCGTTCTCAAGTGGTTGCTGAATCAGGTTGCTTTGTGCTTATTTAAGGCGCTGCGGTCAATACATACAAGTTTGTCTTCCATAAAATCAATGGGATATTAACCTTAGTAAGGCGGTTGGGCGAGTAAAATAGTAAACTACAGTGTTACAGTAAGTATGCATAATCAAAACTGCAACAAAATGAACTAAAAATGTAACTATGTATGAGAAGCTGAGCCGGTTAATCCACTGAGGCAACACGAGTGTGCTATGTTCGCTAAAAACATCGCATCTAATGACTATTCTGGTCTACTGTGGACATTCTCTATGTAATCATCTGGCTTAGTTTACGTATCGTAAATAGACCTTTCATACATTTATCGCTCCGTAAATCACAGTCCTTAAAATGGCACGCGAAAATTGCACAATGCTTCATACTCAGCCAAATAACAACTAATATACTACGGAAAAGCAATATCACAAACTTATTTTAGTATCACTTTCTTTTTTTGGATCGAGAAATTGCAATAATAAAAAGGGCGGAAAGAGAAGAAAGCGCACTTTAAAACTGTCACGTTTGCCAAATATCTAATGGTCTCAAATACTGGTACAATAACTGAGTGCACACTTTTTCGAAGGTATCTTTAGAAAAAATACTTTCTGCCATGCATTCAACATCGTCTTTCCCACTCTATATTGCAGGTTCGTCAAACCATTGCAAAGTAGCTTTCTTTCATAGGTGCGTCGCGAAAGAAGATTGCATTGTGTCCTGCGGGGACATGGGATCTCATAGGTACCGCTGGTTCCGGAATGGCTGCTGTCAGTGCGTAGGGCACCGATGCAGAGACTACGGAGAACTTCAACCTCTCTGCCAGATGTGCGGGATCAATTAAAGCTCTGCATATGGTGTCAAATGAAATAGAGTTTTGTATTCTTTAAAAGAGACTTTGCATCGCTGATGAGGGGGAAAATAGTTTACAAAGGATCATAAAGTTATATTTCTTCTGCAAGAATCTTAATCACAACATCACCACTGATCGATACCATTTGCTACACCAATCGTTTGCTACACGGTAATCCAGTTTAAAACGCAGAATAGATAAGAAAACTTGAGAGCATTACAGAAAAAGAACATTTGTTCATTCCAATTTCTATTCCCCTTCTAGCTAGAAATGTTGTTAAGACACTAGAGAATAGAACTAAACAAGAATTCTGGCGACAGAGACATCCGCTTGTGTCAATTCATTCCCCATCTTCTTTCGGCTGTTATGACATCGTCACTCATATGTTCCCTATGTAAAGTTGAGAGGACAAACTACCTCGGATTATCCTTAAAAATATGGATATGAGCTTATCTTCTCTTAGTTACAAATAATTTTTTATACCATGGCTTCGAGTCATCCTTGGGCTTCAGAATCGAATGGGAATTTCCTGCTGATGTCATGAGAGTCCCATACTTGATACATTAAGTTTTCTAACTTAAACCTTCACTGAAATCTTATTCTCCGTGATATCGAATTAATGTCGAATTGAAAAATACAGTGTATCTCAGCTGCAATTTGTTCCCAGAAAATTAACTACAGTGTAATCTGCTTAATTGTGCAGTGCACACTTTTTGCAATAGTTACAATGAAGAAACATAGGTTCATTACACAAGCAAGGAACATAGGCATTAGAGCAAATAGGTCGCCTTTGCCTATAGTCGGAGAAAGCTAAATTCGACCGTCAGTTTTTGCAGTCATTTGCTAATTCAAGCCGGTAAAAGTTTACGTTTTCTAAGTTAAGGATGGTCAAGGGAGCTACGTCATAGTTTAATTTGTGCGTTCATATTAAAAAAAACATGTATCCCATACCTTTAAAGCTTTTTATTTGCAAACCGTTTGAATCTTCTTCTCAATTAGCCATTCCTTCAATTTTGCTCAACCCTTTTTGCATATTTATCCAACACCACTCAGTTAAAGTTTGTTATGTCTCTCAAGTTAGAGGTCGTTTTGCAAGTCACAAGAATTGACACAAGGTGGTTCCCTTAAACGCATAATAAATAAAAGACAATAAACGATTAAAGCATACCTTATGGTTTGAAGAGCCTGCCGTTTGGAAGAACGAGCAACTTTTGGGGGCGATCGATGATCCGCGTGAACACAATGCCCACGGCATGACTACCTATGTAGGGAAAATACGGGGTTACTATTAGCATGCGTTACTCGGCGGTTAGTCTTGTCCGATGAGTTCATAGCTAACCATTTTTGTTTGGAGCTGCAACTGATTCACGCACCCAATGATCAACTGGCCACCGTATAGAGTTTCTAAAGCTGACGTTTCGCATTAGCCCTTCATAAGAGCGAATAGAGGAGTAGAGGAATTGTGGGTTGACTGTTTGTGTGCAGGAAAATAGAGCTACGCTATTGGTTGAAACATGGAAACGTGACAACACGAGAATAAATAAGTTGAATGGAAATGAGGATATAGAGTGCCGATTTGAAAGATAAATTTTTGTCCTACAGTTTTGCATATCTTGTTTCGTCGAAAGGGTTTGCTGTTTCGCGGCGGTTAGGCAACCAGCATCGCTTTTAAAAGGGTCCGTGAATAAATTATATGAGTTCATTGAAAATTGAGAAGACGGTTACAAAATAGTTACAGTGCCGAGTATACTAATTTATGGCCATGTTTTCTTTATTTCGGAGATCGCCGGTAGACAGATTCTGGCCTCTAGTTTAGCCGTTGGTTTCATCTACTTCTCTGCTCTTTCTCTGAGTAGCATTTTTTTTCCGCTATTCCACTTTAGGATTCATTCTCTTGGACCCCACTTTCCCCATGGATGTAGATTTGCGACTTGACTGTAGAATCATACATCTCCAGCGAATTTGAAAAGACTATTAAACCGAACCCTACAAGAATTTTTGTGGTTTTTAATAAGAGATTACGAACTGTTTATATTCTTTAGTTCTTACCTACTTATATCTATTGAAGGACAGACGCAAAGATGACGTCGCTATTCGCAAAATTTTGCTTCTTCATCTTATAAAACAAATACATTTCTTGTTGCCGTGGGTCTTTACAGTAATTCAGTGATCACTGACATACTAGGCTGCGCCTCGTGTACCACTTTGTTCTCGCCACATTTTGAAGTCATCACAGACGCACGGAGACATGGAAACTATTTTTATTTGGAACCTTTTGGGGCTCAAAGCTCGTATTTCTTTAGTCTACGGTATGACCGCGTTGACAATTGCTTTGATGAGTTGTGATATGCTCTGAGTAAAATTTTAGGAGCCGAAAATTCAGACTTTTTTTGCGTGGATTCCCTAGCTTAAAGCGCCTGGATATGGTATGTAGATCTCACGGATTTTTACGAAACTAGCCTAGAAAATGTTCACGGGTTTTTAACGCGCCAAAATGTCTGATTCTTTTTCGATATTTCAAATACTATTCCTTTCAGGCCTTCTTATGTAAAGAGGATCGGCAAGCACCGTATTTAATTAGCCGAGTTCAAGTAGATTTTCTCGGCAACCAATAGGAGAAGCCTCACACACTTATGCATATCATCAACTGCTGATTGGCACTTTGCGGTTTATTATTTTGTGCGTGCGAACACTAAAGGCAGGTAAATCAGTTTATATCACACATGGTCAATTTGGCGTAAAAGAGCTTGCACACGCTTACCATTATATCAAATCTTTTTGATATAGCCATTTCTTCGGATTCTTGAGTTTTTAAGCGTCACAGTGATAAATATTTTTGTTTTTCTTATTAAAAGCGACGTGCGTATGAACGACTTTCCGGAAGACACCCCCTGAAGGTTCCCAGAAACCTTTGTGCTGATCGACGCCGTGGAGAACGAGATTCACAAAGAGTAAGAGACTTATCACTAAATGCTGTTTAATCACTTCCTAAAATCATTTTATATTAATGTCATTATCAAGCAATGTACTATAAGACCAAAGTGCAAAGGAAGTAATCACAAAAAAAACTGAGAGGCGTTCGATTGTGTATTTGTAATAAAATTAGTAAGGTTTACCCACTGAAAGTTAGGAATCTTCAAAGTTCGTCAAGTTCGCATTCTGATACAAAATATCACCACCCCAGGTTTTCTGAAAAAAAATCAGTCATTGATCAAAGAATTAAATGAACCCAATCAAACATTTTTGTTTTCTCTGAATTATCTGCACATTTCATAGAAACCCTTTAGCTTATAGCTGATTGCTGATTGTAATGGTTATCATTAGACTTTAAGTTTTTTTCGATGCTGGTAAAGGTTTTTTTGACTGGATTTACTGACCGCTCTCCAAATTTGAATTAATCTTAAGGATAACTTCAACCAAGCTGTGACATGAAGAATAGATCATTTTGAAACTTTGGCACGTTTCAATGCGCCTCGTTTGGAAGTAATCGAATGTATCTTTTCGAGTTGTGTCGTACTTTGTCGAGTCAGAGGGTCAGTTAAAATACAAACAACGAGTAAAGATACCCGGTAATACTACACACCAAAACGTCTAATAAGTTATCCAACTGCTTTATGTTATGCCCATTCCTTATAGTACGTGAAAAGCGAAGCAGATGTAGAAATGTAGCACGCGCAGCCGACTGGTTAAACAGGTTTTTTGCCAGTCCAACATAATCAAAATATAAGCAAGCACTGTGACCTATCCTTTTCATTGAAATTTTCGAAACAGACGTTGTCAGAGAAAGTTTGAGGAAAGTTTTAAAAAAATTGTCAAGTAACTTTTTTCCTGACGGATCGCCTTGAGAAAATGCTTTGTTCTTGATCAAAATTCTTTACTTTTCTTAAAAGTGGCTTGACTCGCAAGAAAAAAAGAATAGCTAAAACAAATGACCTCTCGATATCTGCTGTGTTCTTCTTAAACTTACTCTTTCATTGACAACGACAACGTCGAGTCTTTTACTTAATTATACATCGATTTCATTTAATTCATCGAGCAGGCTACAGAAAATGTCGCTGCATTTCAATTTCTGCTCGACAACAGCCCAGCCATAGGAGACTGTTGAGTCTGTTTTGGGCCGAAGCATTTGGTTCTGTGTCTCAGGAAAATAGGTATTCAGCGTAAAGAGGAAATAATGGACTTTACCTTCCTCTAACCCCTTTCGAAACACTTTTCCATTGAGGTGGTCACCGTCTACAACTTGTGTTATGAGTTGCGATGTGCTTTGCTGGATCCAGTCAACAGGTTCGTTTGGTCTCTACACTGAAAATTGCACTTCGGGCTGGCTACTTAGACTTCTTATCTTGCAAGAAACTGACACACGTTTGAACTGTTCTCTAAAAAAATTAAAATGCTCGCGAATCGATCTTAGAAAGGAACGCCGCGACAGGATTTTCCCGCTCTTTCCATTTTCCATATAAGGAATATGCGCGCCTCAGGCTATTTTGGACGTGCTGATTGATGCTGCCTGTAGTGGCTTTTTATCAACGGAAATTTTGAGTCAAAGCTTCTAAAATGTTCTGCTTTCGTGGAAAGAAAATTTGTTTTCATCAGTACTTTTATGATGTTGTTAAGTATTTATTTAATTTAGTTGGTCAGTTCATTATATGATTTAATCTTTCGTTCAGTTATATTTAGAATGTAGTTACTGTACGAATTCGATTTCCGAAGTTGTCTAGGTTTGAGCTGTGGTGATGAGTTTCCGAGTTGTGACAGTCTTGTCTAACTTCTAAGTGGATGCACTTAGTTTGTCTGCCGTTTACCTTGCTTCGGACCTCGGCACACGAAAGTTCACGTCTGTTTTGGCTGACGCAGTCTGAGGTTGATCAGTTGATCGGAAGCATTATGATTAATTATTTCTTGTTCATTTCGAAAGTCTCGTGAAATTGTTTGGTTTAGTGTACTAAGAACAAATGTTTAATCTCCCAAGGTCAGCTACCTGGCATCCCCATCCATATCTGTCAGTAGTGAGTGTATAGGCATGTTCTTTAGAAGAAAGAAGAGTAGACTAGAAGAATGTAGACAGTGAGGACAAGTGTAGCGTTAGAATTGCGTAGTTAAAGTGAGTGCACAATTCAGTGAGATGTAATATGGAGTTTTTTTCTTTCTTTTTCAGCGGTGATAATCAATATCCACGTTAATTTTTATCAAACTTCGAGTCATCTTATTTGTTTGTTTCCTTGTTATCATGATTGTCACAATCGTTATTTTGCTTTTGTTCTCTGAATAACCGACGGAATTACATTTCCATCGACAAGATAAAAATAACCGGGCAAGTTGAGACATGCTTGATTACTTAGTTGTTAGCTATCCTGGAACTAGTTTTGTGATTGGTCAATACAGTAAAATAAATTGGCGGCATTTTAAGAAAGGATATTAACAGCATGTGACTCGTTCGCGTTCTTCCTGTGAAAGGTGCTGAGTTTAATCAGCAATCTAACCCTAAGCAATTACTGGTTTCAATCTGGTTCATGTTCAGTCTCTGAACATTGATTAAGCTTAATCCTCATTGCACTAGCTGTCGGGTGTGTTTTTTTGGGTTTCTTTCGCACACGACGCGAGGAACTTAACAAGAAACCTTCGAAGAATGGCGGGCGAGTTCTGGATCCAACACTGGGAAATACAACAGCTTTCGAGGCTGGAAATGACGCAGAGATTCTGGGGAATACAGCCGTGAGTAATTTCACTTTCTGTGTTCAAGGGTTTGCCCTGGTTCCCTTTTCTTTGCTCTTTCTTGATTGTTTTGACTGCTGTTGTTTACATGCTGTAATATCCAAAACCAGTGAACAGTAAATTACCGAATTGTCGTGCAGGCCTGCTTTCGAATACATATGAAAGTAATGGGAACATGTCAATTCGCACATTCGTTTTAATAGAATCTTGTTACACTTTTGTACTTTCCACAATTTCCCCTTTAGAGAACGTTGTGGTTTAAAATTGTTACTAGCATGAATCGAAAGATATATTGTAGAATATTTTCCTAGGTGAAATGGCAAATGGTATTTGTTATGGGTTGGGGGAAGTGTTGGAGGAATGGCAGTTTTCTATTGACATTTCAGGAGGACTTTCCCAGTCAATAACAAGTACATGACACTGTTCCACTGAAGGATAAAACTCTCTGAACCAAAAAGTGATCCTGGTTTTTCTCTAAAAGATCACAGGGGAAGATCAACAGAACTCCTTTCAATGTTGAGGAACAAGGTGGCAGAATTGTAATTTAGTTCCCTTGTGGAAAATAATAAATCTCTTGAGAGTCATATTTAACCAGAACAGATTCTCTTAATCATCATATAAAACAAATAAAATTGCAATCAATTGAAATCAGAATTTTCTGCAAATCAGAATTGAAGGCTCTATATCAGTGAGTCTTAGCCAGAGCATAATTTCATTAAATACATATACTAGTTTCATCTACAAAGTGCTATCTACTCCAAACTAAGGGTTTACATAGAAAAATGTATTGTCAGTGGAGCAGTTTTAACTCACAAGAAAAAAAAAATTCTTTTCCCAGTAAGAAAAAAAAATAGCTCAGGTTATTGAAATTTAGTTGAAGAAATCTGGAAGAAGATGGGTGGCTGGCTGAAAATTATCTGATGTCTGATGCCCCAGGATGATGGACACCTTATCAGTGTGAATTAGATGTTGCACAAGCTAAGAGATCATTGTGTGTTAAGTGCAGTATACCAAATAAAACAAAACTTATTTTCTTAGGTCCTGTTAAGGAAACACTTTTTAGTCTTGCATCCAATTAAACATCTAATTTTGTAGTGCAACTGTAAAACAGAAACCAATGCATGGCAGTACAAGTATTTGAAATGATACAATATTTATTAAAGTTTTAAAACAATAGCCTCTGGTTGGTAATTAAAGAAACATTAGAAAATAAAAAAAGTAGATAGTGTTCTATGAGCAAAGCTCAAAGATGATATTTTTTAATAGATTATTTACGGCAATATTTTCCAGGACCTTGTTTATTTTCCAGGAGTGGGGTGGTCTCTCTTTGGGTGTGTTAAATGTACTTGATCTCTGGTTTTCATGGATAATTGATAAAGTGTTGTACAGGTGGGAAAAAAAAAAGAGAAAAGAAAGAGGTTTAGAACTTGCTTTACTAGTCAGACACCAAATTGGAACTTTTTCCTTCCTGACCAACCATCTGTGAAAGCAACATCTTCTTATAACTTACACTGGAGCCTTTGGAAATGTGTACAGCTAGAGGGGAGAATTACTGTAATAATCAGATGTATAAAGTTAATGGGGTTAAAAATTGTTTTTTGGTAGAAAGGACTTCAAACATTACTCCCAGCTAAGTTGCACCCATTCAGCCTTTAAGAAGAGACTTTTTGAAGAATATCCAAAAAGTAATGTGAAGCTGCTGTTATGATGGATCGTCCATCACATGTAATGATTGGCATTTTGAAATTCACATTTCCATAGCCGTTGGCTGTCATGCAGCTTTGCTGCTGTTGTCCTATGTTTCGGGATTTCCATTCCACTATCCTTGTGGATGTTGTAAGGGAGAAGTCTTGCACGGGTTGCTGCTTTCTCCTAAGTGCAGAAATGGTGATTGTGATTGATAAACTTACTTTGTTTCAGAGCAAGTGGAGTCTGGTGTTGTGGGGTGTGCTCTGAAATGGCAGAGGCTTGAATTTTAGCCAGTAGGATCAGTGTTCTCCTTTTCAGGCAGTAACCGGTAACATTTACCGCCTGCAGTACCTCTTATTACCATTTAAAATTGCTTGGAATTCTTGAAAATTCAACAGGTAAAAGGATCACTTTACCAGTTTGAAAATTCATTTTACCTGTCATGCTTAAAATAAGGGAGAACACTGGTAGGATATTCTTGTCATGCTCTTTTTTTGTGTGAATAGGTTTATATAAGAGAATTGTTATGGGGCATTTCAGCCAAACTTAGGTAAACTTGAGATGAATAAGGGCTACATTAGCTAACCAGCTGACCACAATTCGGTGTTTGGGTACCCAATTAAAAAAGAAAGAAAATTTTTATTTCGGTGGTTATCTCTACATCATAAATGAAAGTATAGACTAATTCCTGAGCTTTAATACAATTTTTATTTCTCTCCCACAACAATGATCACACATTTCAATCAATGTCTTACTTTACCAACTCATTTATTATACAACAAGTTTGACCACTAAATAACTTTTTAAATAAACACCATTTAGTTTTCCAATATATATATCCCTTTTAACTTCACTTCTAATGAATGGGACTGTATCCCCTCTAATTGAACCTTGTGAATGTGTTACACTTCCTTGAATTAATAAATAAAATAGTGAAAATATGTTTCCATTGACCTCTACAGGTATGAAAATATCATAGTGGTGTCCCTATATAAAAAATTTAAGGCAATTAAGTATTTCCAATATCCATCATTTCAGGATTTTAAAAGCCCCTTTCCAGTTGTTTGGAATGAGAGTTTTCCATGCCGGGAAAGCAACTTTTCTCACACAACCTTTCTTGGCAAACAGTACCTTAGAAAAAGAGCTGTCCCTGACAGGCACAAAAATCAAACATTTCTGATCAGTTAGAGCACTAACTGGGCTCTATTACAAAGAATTTACTTTAATTATCTTTCTAGGACGTGAACTTTCAATTCTTTGACCAATGTCATCTGTATAGCATACAGTAAACATTTTATCTCAGAATATTAAAACTATTTTCCAGCTGGGTTTATCTACTGTAATAAACTTGATTCTCTGACAGACCACCAACATATTGCAAAATATAGCAAATATTCCTGCAAATTTGACTTGAAAAGTTGTCAAATATTGAAGTATGAAAATAGCCTTTCATGTACAAAGATAGAACACATTTAGCTACTTTAAGTTTGAAAATTCCACATTGAAGACTGTTCAAACCTAACATTTAATTATCCGCAATTTAACATATTGGACAAATGTGGTTTGAAACAAGGTAAAAATAAACTTTTGAACCTCGTGTGCTTCCCCAATGGTTTATGAAACCTATTTACCTGCTTTATTATTTAATGAATGTTCTTGAGCCTTAAAAAATGTTATATGTCTCAATAAGGACAATTGTCTGATACAGAACCTTGGAATCCTGAGTATCTGCTTGAAATCATATACATTGTTCAAATGGGTACTCTGGAGACCAAAGGTCTGTGATTTAAATAAAGTTTAACTTGGACCACAATCACTGTAAGTAGTTTGTGTAAGTTGAGTAAATATTTTCCTTGTTGCAATGTTGTACAATTTGCAACATTTAAATAAAATATTTGGTCACATTGAAAATAGTTTAGATTGTGATTTTGCTAAACCAGTTGCTAAACTTCATTTAAAATTATGCACCAGTTAAAGTATCTTTCAAGAGAATTCCCTGTACATTCTTGAAAAAATTGAAAAAAATCAATTTTTAGTTTCGTCAGAGTATAGAATACTTTTAGCCATGGTCAACCACAACCATTATCAGGATTCTTTTTTAAATATTTAACTCAGTTGGTCAAGGAAAGTTAATATTTGTCAGGGAATTTCAAAATCCTATGACTGTAGCAACCCATGAATATGCTGCATTAGCTTGAAAAATAAAAATAAAAACTTGTGATTAAGAGGCAAACAAAGTCTGAGTCTTTCAACTATTAAGGAAGAATCTACCAACTCTTGTCTGTATAGTTACTATCTGTTGTTATATGATCAAGCTCCTGTACCTATTCAGGCTGAGGCTTTTTGACAATCACTCTTCTGTGAGTTTTGCAAAACTCATTGATTCTCTTGCACGCCAACTGAGTCAATTCTTCCGGTACAGTCAGAACAATGCGGAAGTAGTTTGGATACTGAAAGCACTGAAATGAAGAATCAGTTGTTAAATAAGTTGATTCATTAAGCACAGAATAATGCTGTGTGGGTTAATTGCTGTTTAAATGGAATGTGGTTATAAGGTAAATCACTGCTATTTAAACTTAGCCAAATAATTTAGATAATTACCAGTAATGTCAAGCTACAATTGCATGGAATTTGAGATAAACTGGTAATTTAGAATGGCTTGAACTTTGTTGAAATTGACTTTGTCTTTGCACTCCAATTAAATGGGATCCAATTCTTTTTTTTTTAAATTTAGATGGCATTTACTTCATTTCCTTTCTTCTAATACTCATAGTGGCCACATATGCTGCTCACAGTGAATACTAAAAAGGAAAAACACCTATGTTACAATTATCTACCTTTCCTGGTAGACAAAACACTGATTGTTCTGAGATCAGTTTTTCAGTGAAGTCTAAGTCATCCACAATGCCATCTAACTTGGATATGTCAATTCCAACCTTAAAGAAAAAAAGAGATCTTTTAACTTCACATACGCATGTAGGATGTGTATTAAAAAGACAAGTCAAAAGTAGGTTTGTATTACACTAGTGTGTACCAGTCTGGGCTTTTCATCAAATCCTTGCTTAGAAAAAAATTTATGCTTCTGGCACAATGAATAGGCCAGTTTTACCTGTTCCTGTACTGCACTCATTTTGTTTATTTATAAAGTAAACGTGACTTGTTACAAGATTGTGGAATTCACTTTGTGATAACAATGATTCTGAAATAGCAAACCTCTCTATATGAATGCAAATTATTCAATTTCCAGCCACTGAAGTCTTTAGGTTCACGACCTAGTAATGGTTAACTCAATGTAACATTTATTTGAAAGACATGTTGCACAGTGGGCTCACAGAAAAATATAAAAATGTTGTATCTCAGGGTCCAATTAAAGAGTACTTGTTGTTTGATCTCAAGGTACATTGTGGCAGTGTATATCAGAAAAAAATTAACAAATTTCAAGGCTTTTTAATGTTTTGCAGTTCAACTGTTAGATTTTAGGGCATATGTGATTTTTCTGATGCTTAATTTCCACTTCCCTGGAAAGTACTAACCATCATATACATTGCTCCACATGGCATTTTGGGTTCCAGTTCTGGAATTCTTAGCAGTGCTTCATAAAGTATTTCAGCATTTTTCTGTCAAAAGAAAAACAAAGTGAACAATGCTTCTTTCGGTTACTTTGTAATACATATAGTCTCTAGTCTATTGGTTGTATTGAACTGAAAGAAGAGTAATGAGAGATCAGCCACCAATCAAGGTAAACAAAATAAAAGAGCCAATGAGAACTTAAAGTATAACCAAGCAAAACACCTTGAGCCAGGAAAAATTAGTGTGCACAGAGCTAGTCTCCATAAGTCTTACTGGTAGTTTTGCATTTTGCAAGAGGAGTGAATTATGAAACCAAACATAATTTCTATTAAAAATGGCCCTTCAAAGAGTTACTAATGAGGATCATTAGGCTACAACATTTCTCCTCACCTGAATTGTCCTCATTGTGTTGTCAAAAAAGCTTTGTGGTGTATTGGTCAGTATTTCTGGAAGAGCTCCTTGAATGAGAGTGTTTGGGCCTAAGATTTGCTGGGAAAGTGCTATCAGTCCTGTTCTGACCTGTTTATTACACAAATATTATATTAATAAATAGATAATTATCATTTGTAGGGCAACAGAGCAACAAGCAAGGATATACACATGTAAAAAAAATGAGGTTTCAATACACTGTGTTCTTTAACACCATCCAGATCAATATGAATAATTCGCATTTTTAGTGTCTAAAGGCTATTTATTTACACTGCATGTAGATGATGATGGTTTAGGGTAGCTTACCTCACTTTCAAATGCTTCATTTTTGTCATAGATTATGACCCATCCCAATCTCCAGCCAGGCACAAGAAACCTAGCAGTAAGCATGGCCAGATAAACATAATGTGGAATTACCATTATTGTATTCAAATTGGTAAGGAAAGCTTATGAGGTGTCTCAACCAAAAATTAATAATAATAAACTAGGATAGAAGAAAGAACATTTTTAGAAACAAGTGAAAAAAAGGCTGAAAAAAAATCAAGAAAGAATTCATCACATTTCCATTTGCATTAGTTGAAATTACAGAGAAGTGTACATGTCTGAGGCAAATCCATATTTCCTTACCTTTTTGAAATTGCACCACAAGTCAAAATGGGAACATTGTCTGATAACTGTGCAAGTGGGTAAAACTTGTATCCAGGAAAAACCTGGAGATAACAGGGATAGAAATGAAACATTTGAATTAAGTGAAGAATGACATGTCAACTGACTTACAATCAGTGACTAAATTTTTATTTTGTTCTTCTACTGCCAAGGATGAATTATCATTACTGCCAGTTAATTAATTCCAAAATGAACATGCACTAAGTGGGAAAAATTACACATGATTCCTGGTTTCTTTTCCTCTTTTGTTTTTCTTTGATTTGTTTTTGTTTTTTTGTTTATTTTTTTTCTTTTAGTGTTTGTAGAACACTTACAGCATATTCGTATACTTCATCTGCAATAATAGGAAGCATGTATCTTTCAGCAACTGAAAAGTATAATTACAATGATGTTTAGTGAAAAAACTTTGATTGATAAATGTCATCAAGTTCGAAAATTTGACTCTGTGTCATGTACTACATTAGTTTCTTTGAGAATTTATTTTTGGTCAAATGAATTGAGATGACATATATATTTACCTTCGAGAATAGCTTCCAGGTGTTCTTTTGAATAAACTGAACCACAAGGATTGGATGGATTGTTAACAAGTATTGCTCTGGTTCTGTCATCAATCAGTGACTCAAGGTGATCAAGGTCAATCTCCCAGGATCTCTCAGGCTAAACCAGACAAGTAATTTGCAAACATCTTAAGTTCATTTTCAACTGTATACAAGTATTATTTGTTAATAGATATCAGTTGGAAAATAAAAGATATTTTGACTTTTCCTTATTGTTTGTACTCCTGAAGAATTATAGGTAATAACTTGTGTAAGCAATAGCAGGAAATGACCCTGGATTGCACTGGTTTAAAACACACTTAAGTTTTGCATAACTCCAATGAGAACCATACCAAAAGATTGTAATGTCTGACTTCATGGCCTCTGGATATGCTCAGTGTCTGATAAATAGAAAAGCCTGGTTTGGGCAGAAGAACATTATCTCCAGGGTTTAGTAGAACATCTAAAGCCAATTCCAAAGCCCCAGAGCAACCACATGCTAGAACAACATCCTAAAAAACACAAAATTATAATAATAATTACTGAATATGAAATATTCAAAGGTTGTCATTATCTTTTTACCAATGGGACAAGATATCAAAGCTCCCAAAAACTATTTTTAAAGATGTCAGAGAACTGAGCATTCTCCTCCAAAATTAACACTCTTCTCAAATGAGTTTTAACTGGTTGATTAAGGCCATTTTACCTTGTAATTTATTGGGGAGAAAGGATAGGAATGCTCTGCAGCAATTGCCTCTCGAGCCTTGACATAACCTGCAATATCAAGGTCATTTATGCATGTTGGACATGAGTTATCATAGTTAAGAATTACTGTAAGTTCTGTACTAAGCAGAGCCCACTTAAGTTAACAATATTAACAGTTTACAGTTCAGTCTTTTTTTTTCCTGTTATTGTCTGAAGAAACCTGAAAAGACCTCTTTCATAATGGCAGGCATGACTAATATTCTTCTTTGTGCATTCAAAGATACCTTCATAGCCCTAACTTTTGAATGAAAATTTTATTCTATTTTATTCAAAAATTTTATTGTTTTTACACATTGTTGTGGTCAAAACTACTGTATATGAAATATATTTTACAAGATAACTTTATCTGAAAGGGCTTTTAATCAACACCTTTCTGTTTTTCATCAGAATGTGATCTGGACATATTGGGTGTCATTTGTGTTTTGATGCTTTTTTTTAATCATTTTTTTAACTGTAAAGTAGAGCTTTTAAGCAAAGTGTTTGATGTAGATGCTTTATCTAAAAAAGTAATGGAAAAAAGAAACTAGAAAATCCCACACACCCTATTTTAGTTCAACATGTGCATATCACGTTCTGATAAAAACAAAAGATGTAGATAAAAAAAGCATCATAAAATGAACTTATCTTAATAAAAGTCTTGGCATGAAAGAATAAGCTCCCATTCTGTATACTAATTCAGTTTGAATGAAAATCCTAATTTTCATCCTGCGATACCTCAGAAAGATCTAAAAACAAAGTTATCTATTCTAATAACCTGTTGAAGGAGCATATCCATTATGTTTTGATTGCTTTAGGCACTTCACAACAGCCTCCAACATCTCTTGACAAGGCTCTAAATTCCCAAACACTGATGGATCCCCTAGACAAAAAAAATTTAGGTAATTGAATATAAGACCAAGCCAGGTTAAAAATAGAACCAATCTTTGCCATTTTCTTTCCTAACAGGAAATTAATATTAATATAATAATATTAGTTACCCTCCTACACCCATCATATGTATGTTGTAATATTTCTTTGTTGTGGAGATTTTCTCATTCCACCTTAGCTTGGTCTGCAAAGCCTGTGTCAGTTCCCTTCTAACACTTTTCTTCATCTCAGAGACAAAAGAAATCTATCATAGTAACTTACCTATTGATAGAGCAATCATTTTCTTGGTGGGATTTGGTGTTATTTTCATTCTGTCTACGATGGATCTAATAGGATTAAATGTTGTTTTTGCTGTAACTGAGGCAGGGATATGCCATCGTCTTCTCTTTGCAGTAGACATTCCTTGAAGGAGCAACAAACAAATTATACCTATACCTTAAATCATTACATAACCATCTCCTTACTCCTGACCTTCATTCTCTCTAATAGCAACACAATTTAATCTTTTCCTGGCAGAAAAAGGGTAGGTAAGAACTACAGATTATGCCAGTGGATCTTAGCTGGCTAAACAGGCAATGCGATCTTATATGTTTTCTGTGTCAAATAAATATCACTTTTTCTCTAAGTTACTTTTTCTTGGTACTAACACAAATATACATAACAATGTGTCTGCAGTGAAACAAACAAAGCTCTCATTCTGAGTTATTCATAATAATACTGAATAATCCCAAAGGATTATTATATGATTGATCTTTTCCATAGTCATTATGTAAAGTTTCCGTTGGTTTGGTGTGGGAAATTTCCAATGGAATGTATGGGATTTGATCTTTAGTAAGACATTATGCGAGCCGCATTATGCGCATTAGTTTATTTTGCAGCGCATGACGCCATCAAAGCTCGTATACAAGGTTACATTTTGTCACCTAAGTTTTTACGAATTAAACTAGACAGCTCTTTTGTTAAAACTATCTGTAGAGTCCGATCTCACCAAAATACGATTCAATTTAGGTGAAAACAAATCAACAAACTTCGACAAGGTCAGTTTTCGTCGAGATTGGATGATAAACCATGAATAAGGTCATTGTTGTACACGTGTTTATGTGGTACGAACGCTATGAAGTGATAACGTTTTATGAAGAAGAAATGTTTAATCAACGAGCCTTGAGTCTCAAAATTCTTCTAAGGATTAAAGTTTCCTAACGATTACAGTTTTCTCCCACCTATATCTTACTGTACATAGTAACATTTTTTGCGTAATTTTCGAAAACTCGGCCGTTGCCGGGACATTGCAGTGAAATTGTACTGTACTACATGCGTGCAAGGTTCATTTTTCTCTGCAATTCATTGAAAATAAGTGAAGAACACGTAGCACATATCAACGCATAACTTTAACTACACAGCTGTTTATGCGTATGGTTAAAACTTCTGTGATTGATGAGGTTCAGGCAGAATACTATATTTTTTGTCTGCTTCTTTTAGCTCGTGTGTGTGTGTGTCTTTTACTGTCAAAAAGAGATTTTTTGTCGATATTGACTAACGCGTCAATACGGCTCGCAGGTACCGACCAAAAGTCAGCCGCAGTCGGCCGTCGTCACTATACGCTCATTTTCTATAAAGATCAAACTAAAATTGTAATCAGTCCCAAAAAAATAGCTTACAAGAACAAAGTTAAAACGTTTAAACTACGTTCGACAGACAGAGAAAAATAAAAAGACGCACCTTGCACTATGAGCCAAGCATGAAGTCAACATTAAACACAAGCATTCGCTTCGAACATCGTCCCGCGACCGTCGAGACTCAAAAGCACTAAAACTCAATCCATTTGATATCTCACATACCATGTGAATGAATGGAAATAATCATACTCGTTCTAGTAAATATAATTCTGTTATCGTTTGGTAGGTGTGAGAAAAATGATAAGCTTTATCGGCAAAACCTCAGAGAAATCAGATAACGCTCGTAGAGGAAGACTCGTGAATTCTTTTATGACCAACTAAGGTGCTTGTGAACCAAAAAACAGAGGACATTGTGTGAAGAGTCTGTAAAGAAGACAACTGAGAGAAATTTGTGGTGTACAATGACGTAAGTTCACGAACAATAACTTCGAAATCAGGTGCAAATGCGGCCTTCGTAGAGTTTCCTTCACAATTCGGCGCGACGACGTCGTTTTCGAATCTTCCAGTAAACATCATAGAAACTGGTACTACACCCACAAAATCGATATTTCATGTGTTTCTTATTGAAATACTTACCTTTTTGTCGTGTGCTGAGTGTTTTTTATGCCGATTTTTTCCGGAAAAAGAGTTAACTGAAAGAGTGATTGTAGCCTCCAGCACAATTTCTTCGCTTGGATATGTAAATTTAACATCG